CCACACTTTGGTGTGCCACTCATCTGTGTAAACCAGCAGGATTGCTGCTGTCAGAGCAGGCAGTGCTTCTCTTATCCCTGCGGGGCACAATTACCCCGTTAAGAAGTTTGTCACATATGTGCCTGTACAAATCCTGTCAATGTACTGTCATCCTCTACTTGCTCACAGGGGCAGTCTGATTCTGCTGATTCTCAGAACAGCAGAGACCAGTAACTCACTACACCCACCCAAACTGGATGGGTTTATTTGCAAGCTGAAATTCAGGGTGTTGCTTTCAGCTGCGAGAATACTGCTTCCTCAACAACAGTTTGCCTCCCGGCCTCCTTGATGCCTGTTTCCACACCACAGACTTGCAGTGGATCACACTCCTCTCAAAGTCCGCAGGTGAAGATGTTCTTTTCACATGCAGGAAAGATCAATCACAGCTTTTGTTTTCATGTGCTATAAACGATTTGTGCACCCACAGTGGATTAAATGTATGCTGAAATACTGACCCTTTCTCTCCAACACACATCTTTAATCACAGCTTGGTCAGAATTCAGTACAGCTGATCACTTCCTGCTGATTTCTAAACAGCTCTTCAGCTTAGTTGTTATCAAGTCAGAGATGTTCACAGTCCTTTCCACTCTGACTTTTTTGTATTCTTTACTTAGATACACAGGGAGTTTCCACATATTTATTTTAATTACTGATTATATTGGTTCATATATTATTATATAATAATACACACAAAGGGTAACTTTTGAAAAGTTCATTGGTTTGTAGGACAGCAAACTGGAACAGTACACGCAGTCCAAAAATGCCCTAAACTGGGCAGATCACTGCAGTGTCCACAGAAACTAAACAAACGTAGCCTGCAAGACTTATCAGTTTGTTTAGGGAAAAAAAAAAAAGTGATTTTATGACTACTTATTGCAATAGCACACAGGGGCAGAAGGGCAGAGGCTGCTATGATAAACTTCTCCTTCCGCCCCGCTCCTGTAAATGCATGCAGTTATCATTATGCAAGAAAATAGAACTACTTCAAGAGAAGCTCTGATGTCAGATGCATGTTTTCAAGTCTATTTTACATCACCGTGTGCGTTCCCAAATTGGCATTACAGAACCAACAATGGAGAGCCTCCGAGGCTATGGAGAAGAGAAGGCTCCAGGGAGACTTGATAGTCGCTTTTCAGTATCTAAAAGGAGGGGAAGGACTCTTTAGCAGGGTCTGTTGTGATAGGGCGAGTGAAATGATTTCAAACTAAAAGAGGGGAGATTTAGGCTGGAAATAAGGCAGAAGTGCCTTGCACTTTGTTACAGTGAGGGTGTGAGCAGTGGAACAGGTTGCCCAGATAGGCGGTGGGTGCCCCGTCCCTGGAGTCATTCCAAGTTAGGCTGGATAGGGCTCTTGTTTCAGAAAGCCTTAAGTGTAGCATTTTGATTTCTGCCTTTTCTTTCTTTCTTTCTTTCTTTCTTTCTTTCTTTTTTTTTTTTTTTTTTGATCAGCAATGGCTCCAAACAGCATCCCGTACTTTCAGTGCACCACTTTCCACATTTACTACACCGCTTTCCTCATAACTCTGTGCTCGAATAGTTGAAAACTGACGCGACCCACAGACGCTCGGTGAGGTTGGCGGGCGGCGCGGGCAGGGCCAAAGGCGGGCAACGGGGGCGGGCGGGGCGGCCTGCGGGCACCGCGGCTCCTTCGCACCGCTCGTCCTGCGCCTCCGCCGCGGGATAAGGGCGGCGGGACCGCGGAAAGTTGCGGCGGCGCGGCCCGGAGCCGGGGCGGGGCGGCGGGGCCCGGCCCCGCTGATGTCAGCCGGGACGGGGGAGGAGGGGAGGGAGGGAGAGAGAGAGGGAGGGGGGAGCGGCCGCCGTGTTCCGGGTCAGGCGCGGGAATGCGCGGCGTCCGCCAGCAGCGCAGCGCCCGGCGCCCCGCGACGCCCCTGCGGGGCCGGCAGCGGCTCGCCGAGGGACAATAGGGGGCTGCTCCGGCCGCTCTCCGGCTCCCGCCCGCCGTTCTCCCCCCCCGCTTCCCGGGGCCGGCGGCGCGCTCGCCCGGGGCCGCTTCCCTCCGCCGGGGCGCGCTGGATGCGCGTTGCCGCCGTCTCGCCGGGACCCGCGGCGGCGAGCGGCCGGCGGGGAGGGGGCGGCGGTGAGCGGCGTCGCCCGCCCCGCGGCCCCCAGCGGCCCGTCCCCCCGGCGGGGCGGCGCGCTCCGCGGCGATGTTCCACTGCATCCCCCTGTGGCGGTGCAACCGTCACGTGGAGTCCATCGACAAGCGGCACTGCTCTCTGGCCGCCGTGCCCGAGGAGATTTACCGCTACAGCCGCAGCCTGGAGGAGCTGCTGCTGGACGCCAACCAGCTCCGCGAGCTGCCCAAGGTGAGCGCGGGGAGGGGAAGGGGCGGGCGGGACGAAACCGGTTCCAGAGCCGCCGCGTCGCTCGAGCGCGGCGGAGGGAGGGCGCAGGTGAGCAGCCCGGCAGGTGGCCGCCGCGCCGCGCCGGGAGAGCGAGGGTCAGCCGTGCGGGGCCCTCCTGGAGTGCTGCGTGCGGGTGTGGGGCGCCCAGAGCGAGAGACACGTGGAGTTGTGGAGTGGGTCCGGAGGAGGGACGCGAGGATCGTCCGAGGGCTGGAGCGCCGCTCCTGTGAAGGGAGGCTGAGGGAGCTGGGCTCGTGCGGTCCGGAGGAGAGGAGGGTCCGGGAAAAACTCGTGGCCTTCCAGTAGTTTAAAGGGAGCTTCTGGCAGGAGGGGGATCGGCTTTTTACACGAGGGGGAATGGTTTTAAAGTAAAGGCGGGGAGATGGAGATCAGGTGTCGGGGCAGTTTGTCACGGAGCGGGCGGTGAGGCTCAGGCACGGGCCGCTGGGCGGCTGTGGGTGCCCCGACCCTGGAGCTGCTCGAGGCCGGGCTGGATGGGGCCTGGGCAGCCTGAGCTGCTGCTTGATGTAGCAGTCAGCAGCCCTGCGCACAGGAGGCAGTTGGAGCGAGGTGATCTTTGACATCCCTTCCGCCCAGAGCCGTTCTACAACTCTGAATGCCTCCCCATTATTTCTGCTCCTCGCTTCGTTTTCTCCTTTTCTGTATTAAGGCACACATGAACCAAGATGAGACCCTCTTTTTCCCTACTTTTTTTTTTTCTTTTTCTTTAAATATATACCCATCATCCTCCCAGGAATACAAATTAATAAATTTTACAGCTACTCAATAAAAAAAAAAAAAAAATTATCCTCTTGCTGTTGCACAGGGATCCTTTTGGTTTCCCATTTCAGCACTCCTCTTCCTTTCCCAGGCCTCCCTAACCGTTCTGCTTCATTACTCAGCAGCCTGCTAGAGAACTTGCCCATGTTTGTGTTGACAGTGACCTTTCTTAGCTGCTACCACTGGTGTCTCAGGCTCCTTGCCCTGCCCACGCATATTTTCCCTTCCTGCCATGTCCTTGGATGTCCCAGGATCTTGCTTACTTCCTTCAGTCTAAACGCTCTTTCTGCTCCTTGCTTCCTCTCTCTCACATCCCTTCTGTGCCTGATTCTTGACTGCCCTTGAAGATGTTTTCTTTCTTTGTGCTCTGCTCTCTCTCCCTCTGCTCCCTCCCCTTCCTCTGCCGCCTTGCAGGTTCCATCGTCTCCTCTTGCCCTTCCTGCAGGATGAGCCAGCCTGGTGGGATGTGCTGGAGGAGCAGGCTGTGCCCGTTAAGCTTCTGGTGGTTTTCCTCAATACTGAGGTCTCTATATCCTTTCTTGGCAGTTGTGGATATTTTCCCACAGAACAGCAATTTCTAGCTGTCAACATGCTTCTCACTGCTTGTGCTTTACAAGAAAAATTAAAGAGCTGCACCCTTCAGACTTAAAAATAAGGCCTTTGTTTAGGGCCAGTTGAAGAGTATGGCTCTTGTTAAAAAATTCCTCCTGCGTTGGGTGTGCAGTATTCCATCCAAGAGCCTTCCAGTGAATATTCGCTGTATCTGATTTGACTGGGAAAAACGTATTGTGTGGGCACCTGTGAGCTCAGAGCAACTTAAAAAATGTAGTCTGTGTTTTTCTTCTTAAACCTAAACCATTTTTATTTTCCTTGTGAGTGAAAACTTGAAGGCTAAGCTGTAATGTGTAGTGTATCATTTGCTACGTGTCAAGAGCTATACTTCACTGAAGAATAAGCTTTCTGGCAAATTGCTTTGATAGAAGAAAATAACACATTCTGCACAATGCATTTCAATAGCTAACCTGATGAAAAGCATCAGGTAAAAATGGGGTGCTTTCAATTCTATAGATCAGCCCGTGGTCAATTAAGTGTTGTCTCCTGTTCCTGAGCATCAGAATTTAAGGGCCAGTACATCCTGTCAGCTTAGTTGCTCTCTGTCTCTGAATTTGCTGTAGCAAACTGGACCTCAGCATTGTTTTTTTTCCTCCTATTTCCTAGAAAATGGAAGTTTCTTAAGAACCCATGACAGCAATATTTTATTGTAGCTTTTATCTTAAATCATCGGTGTTCTTCTCACTGGTGAGTAGTGGAAGTAATTTCTGTCTCTTGTTTTGCTGCTGTTTTGTCTAACAGCAAAACTGTGGTGCTTTCTCAAAGGAAAAAGACCACTTTCTCATGAGACTTTGAGCAGATGTTGCTTATGTGAAAACTCCAATGGGGGAAAAAAAAAAAAGAGGCAAAATTTTATGTATGCACTTAGTTTAGCTTAAAGGTCTGCTGAACTCTTTCTTCTTTTGGGGATTATTTATATGTAGGATTTGTAGACCTAATCTGATGTAACTCAGTCATTTCACTTCTTTCAGCTTGCCCATAGCTGTATCTGTAATTTTATGTTCTATGCCAATTTCACTGTTCTATGCCAGTGCTTCTCTGTGCCGGTCTTTGACTGATGTGAGACCACTTCCACAAGGGACCTGGTTAGACAGTGGCCACCTCCCATGCTCCAGTTTCTGTGTTGGAGAAACGTGAGCAGCCGCTTAGCGTTCAGCTTGGGCAGTGTCTGTGCATCTCTTTATTACACGGGGTGTTGAAATCCAGGGTGCTGTTATCATACCAGAATCTTGTGAAAGCTCTTTAAGAAAAAGGGCACTCTGTTCTTCTCATACCACTCCTTGTTTTTAGAAAATATCTCTTAGACTGAATTTCACCGTTCTGCCATAATTTCTTTCCTGATGCAGCTTGGTTGACAGCTGGTATTCTGGTGTGGAATGAGCTGATATTCTAAACTTCTTTTTAGGTTTGTCTGTATATAGGTTGTAACTGTCCCTTCTCAAAGTGTAAATCTAGTAAATTTTATTTGCTTTTTGAAATTGATAGATCTCATTGGTACTGTGGAGATGTGTGGTATCTGACATGGCTGGACTGTTGCAGTGGATGAATATTGGCTCTAGGAGAGCGGATTTTGGCATGTTCAGAAATGTGCCTGGAACAGGCTGTGGGAGACCATCCTGGAGAGGAGCAGGGTATGGGAGAGAGAGTTAATTTTCATTGGTCGCCTTCTGTAAGCTCAGGAAGACCGTTCCGATGAGCAGGAAAACAAGCAAAAGTGGTAGGAAGTCTGTGTAGATGAACAGGTGCTCCTGAAACACTCAGACAAAAAGGAAGCGTAGAAGAGGATGGAGTGTTGACAGTTGACATGGGAGTGCCCCAGGGACACTGTATGTAGTTAAGAAGGTCAAAGCCCATTTGGAATTGAATCTAGGAAGGGCTAATAAGGACAAAATGATAATCAGTAAGTATATCAGCAGCAAAAGACAGACTAGGGAAAATTTGCTTTTGAGTGCGGCAAAGAGAATGCTGAAATGGTGACAGAGGACACAGAAAAAGCGGAGGTACTGAAAGCCAGCTTCATCTTGGTCTCCTGTTAAGGCTGGTCTTCAGCAATCCTGGGTCCCTGAGATCAATGGGAAACGTCTGGAGAAAAGAAGAATTGCTTTTAGTGGAGGACAATCAGGTTAGGGAACGTTTAAATAGTGTGAACATAGACAAGTGCATGGGACCTGGCAGGATGGACCCACAAATGCTGAGTGAGCTGGCTAGTTTTACCGTAAAGCCACTCTTGGTTATCTTCAGAAGGTCTCAGTAACCAGGGGAGATTCCAGAGAACCAGAAGAAAGGTAATACCACATCTTCCTTCTTGAAGATAGGAGTTGGAAACTACGGGCTGATCAGCCTCACCTATGGGGGTAATGGTGAAAATCCTTCTGGAAACCAGCTCCAGCCAGATAAAGGACAAGAAGATGTCATGGAGTTATGGAGGGGAAATTGTGCTTCATCAACCTGATAGCTTTCTACAGCGAGATGAATGGCTTGGTGGCTGGGGAGAGCAGTGGATGTTGCTTGTCTTGACTTTAGCCAGGCTTTCAGTGCTGTCTCCCATATCCTCATGGACAAGTTGAGAAAGTATGGACTGAATAAGTGAACGGTGAGGTGGACTGAAAAAGGGCTGACTTGCCAGACACAAGGAACAGTCATCTGTGCTATAAAGTCCAGGGGGAGGTAATTCCCTAATGGTGTAACCAGACATTGATACTGAGGTCAGTAGTACTTAACATCTTCATTAATAACCTGAGTGATGGGACAGAGTGCTCCATCAGCAAGTTTGCAAATGAGACAGAACTGGGAGGAGGGGCTGATCCATCAGCGGGTTGTTCTGTGATCCATAAGGACCTTGGCAGGCTGGAGAAATGGACAGAGAGGAACCTCGTGAAGCTCAGTAAAGAGAAATGCAGAGTTCTGCCCCTGGGGAGGATTCACCTATGCTGCTGTACAGGCTGTATGGGGGCCAATCAGCTGGAAAGCAGCTTTGAAGAAAAAGGCCCTGGGGGACCTTGGTGGACAAGCTGACTCCCTCATGGCAAAGGCGTTACTCCTTTAGATATCTTTTAGCTGGTCATTGACAACTTTGGAAAATGTGTAAAGTAAGAATCAGGACCTGGTAAGGTACTGTAGTACCACCGATGAATTCTCACAAGCAGAGACAGCGTGGTGTCAAAGGGAAATGTGACATAAAAGCAAGCACTTACAAACTTTTAAGCATGTCAGCAACAGCTCAAGTGCATGCGACTACAGAATATGTAAGTAAATAAATCTTTCTCCTGTGTAAATACAACCCTGCAACCCTGGAGATAATTTGCAGCGCTCCTCCTCTCCCTCTCATTCTCACTTCTGCTGAAAATTAGTCAGTAGATTACATTCGTCTCTAATGTTTGTTGTCTTTACTGCTAGTAATGACCTTCTGCTTCAAACTGCTATCATTTATTTGTGCTACCTGTGCCAAATGGAGTTTTGCTTTGCTGTGTCTCTAGTACTAGAAGGCTCTAGCACTGAAATGCTGCTCCTCCCCTTACACAGCTGTAGCTCCAAGTAGGTGTTCCTGCCCTGCTGTGTTTTTGATTTCAGTTGACAGCTGTTTCCATCTCTTTTTTTTGAGGAAAGGTGCTGAAGAATTCAGGCAGCGTTCTTGGGCATTCATGTTTTTGTTGCACAAGTGGTTCATTCAAGGAATGAGCATCGTTTTGGCCACTTTCCCGAGGGAAAATCTTGAGTTCTGTCAATCCTGCCGGTTTGGCTTAATTCTGTTAACTTTCCTTTGTAGAATCAAGAGTGCCGCTTGCATTGTAACAAACAAACCCCTCTGCTCACATGAGCTGCTCTTTCTGTGAGTTGCTTGCTTATCTCTTCAGTCTGTTTCTGTTTTCTTTCTTCTTCCATTGGCTGACATGAACCCAATTTTGCCAGAATGAAGTGTTGGCGTGGTTTTATTTTGTATTTATTTTTAAATATAGGGCTGAGTGGATGAGGCTTGATTGGTTTTCCAGTGAGAAAATGGCTCCATTCAAGAGGTATAAGAGAAACCTCTATACGTTCTTTGATAGTAAGAAAAGCTTCAATTTCAGGCTGGAAATTGCTGCTAAATAGAAAGTTGTAGGCTCTGTTAGTGCTGATGCTCATGGAATTATTTGTCTCATTGAAGTGCTGTTAATTAGGCTGGCTTAACTGAGCAGTATTAAAAGTGTTGCCAAGATACCCATAGAGACATCGGGTCTGCAGTCAAACCCTGTTATTACAGCATGTTGTGGGGATGTTCTGCTGTGCCCTGGATTGCCTCAACGCAGGAGCTGCAATGAGTTTCAGCTGTTACAGCTTTTCAAATAGAAACTGAATTCTGTTTGATGTAATACATTGGAAACATTTCTGATTGGTGTAGCCATTTCTGAATGGTGAAGCCATAACAAATATTGCTATATATATTTACAGTTGCTGAACTCTATTCCACACACTCTTGATTCCCTGTCTTCCCTGTGGACTTTTTGACAGGTGAAACAAATACAGCAGAAAGGAGTTATTGTTTGACTGCAGTAGTGCTCAAGAGCATTCCTGTTGTGCCTTGGATAAAGGATGAGCAGTTACTGCAAGGGAGTAGGATGTACTGAGCAGGCAGGGGTTGCTATGTTCTGTAGTTTAAAGGAAAAAAAAAAAAAGCCAAGAAAGCACGAAGTTCAAAGAAACACCATTCACATAACTGCACTTTATGATTTGATCAAGGAAACGATGTCATGCATTAGAAATTGTCATGCAAACTAGAAACAGGGCTCCCGGTTTGCATTTATTTTAAGTGGTCTGTTACAGAACCAAGAGTGCCTTTAGAGCTAGAGGTTGTGTAATTTGTTTGTTGCACAGGCGTGCTTTGCACATCCAGTAAATAAATGCATCCATCCCAGACAGTGGGTGAGGTGAGGGCTTGCAAGCCTTCCAGTGGATCCTCACCTCTCAGTATCTTTTCAATGATCATTTTGTCTCTTAATCTTCTGTCTTTTTATTGTGTTCTTCTATTTTTTCTCATTTGTGATTGTGAAGGATCTCTTGCAAGGACAACTGTTGCATATGAGAAGGTTTTTATCAGCACATCGGTGTTTGTTGCGTGGCTCAGCAGCTACAAACTGGCTGAGAAAAAACTGCAGCGAGACACCTTTTCAGTAGGTCTTGCCAAGAATTTTTTGGACGGTACTAGGACAGATTGGGATCTCTTCTGTGGAATGTAATCCTGCTGTGTTTTAACAAATGTGTCTTTAAGTGCTTTTCTAGGCTTCTGTCTGACTGTTGGTTTTATCACATTAACAAACATTTAGCAAAAAAGAATGCCTTTGGTTTAGAAGATGTTAACGATAGGAAAATGTAATTATGAATTGTGATATGCGCTACATGCACTCCAGCACTTACAACAGAGAAACAAAAAAAACCCCAACCAACAAAAAACAAAACAAAAAAACCCCCACAAAATGGAGATGCTCATTTCCAAGAATGGATCACAGGTAATCAAGTGGGCCAGTTCTGACTGCTGTGCAGAAATGTCTGTGCAGCCCAGGGACATGGAACTCAACGTCAAGACTCCATGTAGTTAACAGTACGGATTTCTGCCCAGATCCCCACCACTTGCAGTCACTTTGTCAAGTCAGAGAATCACAGAATGGCCAGGGTTGGAAGGGATCTGAAGGATCATGAATCTCCAACCTCCTGCCACGGGCAGGGTCACCAACCTTCCCATTTAATACTAGACCAGGCTGCCCAGGGCCCCATCCAACCTGGCCTTGAACACCTCCAGGATTGGGGCTTTGGGCTTTTTCAAATGCCTGTCTGGAAGAGAGAAAAGCTGTGATACGGGCTCTTGGCCCTCACCAGGGATGCCTGTGTCTTAGTAGCTTTTTAGAGACCATTTTTTGTCTCTCAATTAGCAGCTGCTTCTGCACCTGATAAGTGCAGTGCAAGGCTGATGTGACTTGCAGTGCCTATGAGTCTGTGCAGTGAAGATGCCCTTTGCATACTTGGCTGGTATCATTTGATGGCTCTTTTTTCCTGAGGGCTGCCAGGACGTAGCTTGGGGGTGAGTTAGTGTCCTGCCTGCTTTGCATGTACTGTTCATCCCTGTTGTGCCAGCAGTTGGTAAGCAATTGTTGCAGTATCCACCGTCACCCTTGGACATAGACTGCAGAAACATGGCTGTACATACGCCTGTGTGAGAGGCTGGAGAAGCTGATCATAGAGCCAGATGGTGTTTTGGTTCCTCTTTGTGCTGGAGAGGCTTGAAGTCATGTGCATCACACACAACTTTCATTAGTCCTTCTGAAATGGGGCCAGTCTCCAGACAGGAACGTGGGATTTATGAGGCTGGAAAGGAGGTGTTCCTGGGGGAGAGCAGCTCCATAACCTAGTTGGTTCCTGCAGTCGCCTGTTACGCCTGTTGGCAGCCCCTCTGTGTGGGTTTTCTGGATCATCCTTTAGAAGTGTCTCTGTGCATTAACTTCCTAATGAGCCCTGGTGTGTAATTAGGATGCTTTTAATTACCCTGATGGATAACCTCACCCCATTAATGATTTTGAAGCAGGCACTCTGGATTTCACTAGCGTAAATCTGCTATGATCTTTACTGGCTAGCTTTGCAGTTAGTGTTCGCATGCAAAAATTAAAGCATTCATTCTGATGCAGTTCTGAAAGAAGTCTTAAAGAAGCATAACCAATTCTAAGCAATAACTTCAGCTCAAATGAGGTGAGCAGCTTCCAGTGTAACTTTCACGTTGTGTTGTTGCTCATCGCTTATCGCATTCGTGTGAGTTTTACAAATGTCTTCTGACACTGAGTTTCTCTTTCTTTCAGCCTTTCTTCCAACTTGTGAAGTTACGGAAACTTGGACTAAGTGATAATGAAATCCAGCGGCTCCCTCCAGAAATAGCGAATTTCATGCAGCTGGTGGAACTGGATTTGTCTCGAAATGGTGAGCTGCAAAGTTAATTTCTTTGATTTTTGTACTGTCGTATCACAGGATCTACACAGCTGGGTTAGCAGCGTTTTTCTGTCTCTGAAGCTGCTGTCTGTGTCTCACAGAATGCTTTTCTGTGTGATGCGTTGATTTAGCTGAAGTTCCAAATGGATAGGAGGGAATGAGCAGAAGAGAGGCAGTGGTAGAAATATAACAATAAAATAATGCTGGGCTTTAGTTCTGCCTTTCTGAGAGCCTGCTTTATTTTCCAGTTTGTAGAATGCTTTAAACCCTATTTTTTTATCTGTCACTGTGTTGATTTCTTTCCCTGAGCTCTCCAAAATGCTTAGAAATTAAAAAGAAAAAGAGAGTGAGAGAAAAGAGAACTCCTATCTGTCCCAGAAAAGGTACCTCTGGCTTAAAATCCAGTTCTTTCTTTCTATTCCCCTCTTTTCCTGTCATTAACAAGAGTCCGAATGCTTGTGTTTCTCATTTTGCTTCTAGTAAATGAATGTTTTGTTATTGATGGAGAGAAATTCAGAAAAGGATGCTGGTAGAAACTGTATTTTTAAAATATGTTGTTAGAAACCGTATGGGTTTGTCATTCTGTTGTTAAGTTGCTGACGCTGCTTAAATTGTCCTAAGCCATGGTGGCGTGAAAACGGGTTGCATTTGGCTGTTTTCTTGTATCCTGGTGAACTTAGCAATTCTCAAAGAAGGTCAGGGCCTGCTGGGTCACCTTTAAGCAGCCTTATGACCCAGTGGTCTAGAAAGAGTGAATCAGTGTTAACAAATTAGAGCAACTGTCATCTATTTTTGCTTCCTTGTATTCCTGGTATATGTGCAGAATGCTCTCTGAGGTGTGTGACGGGTGGGCTGGGCCGGGGCACGGCTGTGCAGCCTTGTAAATAGGAGAGGGCTGTAACTGAATGTTAGGAGAAGAAATAGTGCACAAGGAAGCCTTGTGTTTGTTACACTGTAATATCACATTGACTCTTTGTCACAGAAGAATGTTCAGCTGTCACCTCACCTCCCTGTAACTATCTGCATTTTGTGTCTACCCTTTATTAGTTTGGTGCTTTTAATGCTATCTGACAATATAACTGATGCGTAATGAGTCTCTAGGCAGTTTCTGGGAAAAAAAAATAATCTGTGAACCATATAATGCCATGCACATTTGCAAGCCTTGGAAGAGAAGAAAACTGGAAAGAAATGGTCTGAAAAACAGAAGAATCACGTTAGTTAAAATATTTTAGAAATAGATGAGCATTCGTTGGTGCAGTATTTTTGGCTACTGAGTTTGGCTGAGATTGGTGCTGTCTGTGACAGATCTCAGTGAAAAGGAAATACTGTGCTGGCTGAGTAGTTCTTTCTGCAAATGAATTGCTAGCTGCAAAAGAGCTGATGGATCAGAGCCATGTGAACTATTGTCAGCCTGACTTGAAAGTTGGCTTGAGAGCTCAACTGTAACAAGAACAGATGGTGTGAACATTTATGGCCGGGAAGGTGCATGCGTGTCATTAGAAGTTACTGCGCGAGGAAGTGTTTTCTGAAGTGATGTGTTGGACGTACGCAGGTTGCGGGAAGCAATTTCTTTCCTGCATCCAAAGTTCAGTGTTAATCATGCGTTTTATTGCGTTGCTGATTCCTCTCTGTGATTCATTGCAGAAGGTGACTGGTACTGCTGTCCCAGAGGACGCTCACAGTTAACGCACAATTTGACTCTTTGGCTTAACACCGAAACACACCGTGAGGTGGTACAGGGAAACCACTGCGCAGCAGAAGATGACTGATGTTACTTTCCACTGTTTAGTCATGTTTAGGTTGTCATGCAACTCGTTTGGCTCTCGGAGTTAAATGGCAAAACACGCACCATATGTGATGCTGCAGGGGGAAATTCTCATACAAGGTTTTGGCTTTTTTGCAATATTTTTGTTTCTTAACTTTTGTATTTTGAATCCAACTTCCAGTATGTCAGATCTGCAACCCGACAAAAATTTCTCCTGTTCAGTGGTTTGCATTTCCTCACTTTTTGTTTGTCTAATTACTAAACTACTTGGAGGAAAAAAAAAAAAAAAAATAAATAGGAACTCTTTGTATTCCTTTCAGGCACAGAAAAACAGCCCAGCTTTTCAAAATGCACTATGCTGCATGAATAGAAAAGTGTGATGGTGACATCTGAACTCGGGAAATAAGAGATCATTGTTCTGTGTTTTTTGTTATTTTAGCTGTCTGGTTCACTGCGCTAATTGCTTTCAGTTCTGGCCATTCTGTTTCCTCAAGAGCTTAAAAATGCAAATATAAATTCACTTAACGATCCGTGTACAGTTGTAGCCCTTTATATTTTAACCTCTCCTCCTCCTCAGAGGAGGAAAGTCTTTAGAATACACAAAGAAAGTACTTCCATCTCCCTCGTAATAAAATGGTAACATGTCATCCTTCCTTGTTCCCATCTAATCCTTTGGTCTGCATTTGATCTTTGAAGTTCCCTGAGCTGATGTGTCACTTGTACGGCTGAACTTCAGGACACTTCCAGGCCTTAGTGGAAGCATTTTCTCTGCATTTTGTGTAGTGGTGATGTGCTGTATTTGGAGGTGGATCAATGCCCTCTGGCAGGATCTCTCCTGGCTCTCTGGCACCAGCTCTGAGTGCCTGTGCAGTGCAGTGTTATGTGCTTTCCGTGTAGCTTTAGTCCATGGCACTCAGAAAAGGTGAGCAGGGAAACTCTTCAAGTATGACTTTCGTACATTCCCAGGTTCTTTACAGTATCTGAGACACATTCATGTATATTAAGATTGAGTACACAGTTGATCTTTTAAGTAGTTTTTGGTTAATGAGTGAGTATCAAACTGCAAGAATCCTTCAAAGTAAACGTAAAAATCTTTTGCAGATGTAAACTTCATGTTTCTATGCTCTTTCCTTTCACTGTGGGGAGTGTATGTGAATGAGCTCTGGTTACAAAAACCAGCACAGCCTTACTGGTGCAAGGGGAGGAGGATTTGGGGGGAAGGCTAAGAGCCATGTGATCTTGAAGTTTTCCTTCTTTTTTGCACGTTAATGCTATTTCTTATTCCTTTATGAGAATGAATTAATGTAGGTTTCAAAGGAAGCATCCCTCTGTGTTTTCTAGCCTTGATGAGGCTGATGTTTGAGCAAAGGCAGTATGAAAAGCCCAAAGATAGGAATATCAGAGGGCAGAGGAGAGCTTTGCTGAGTAGATAGCATAGTGAGGGTGAACATTTGAAGGGTTATCTGTCAGTACAGTTCATCTCTGCTCCTCAGTGTCAGGTTGTTCAAGCAGCTGGTGAGCCGGTTCAAAGCTAAAGAAAGCAGACCTGCTGCATTTTAGCAGTGGGTGCTGGAGCTTTTAGGGTTACTGGCAAAGTTGTGTCTAAGACTATGAGTGTTCCAGGTAGCATCCTCTGACACACAGAACTCTGCTGCTCATCTGCCGTGTGTCTGAGATGACTGCTGGATCCTTCCAAAGCCCCATATTCAGGTAAATCCCGTCCAGGATCATCACATCACCAGGGATTTTTTTCAGGGACTCTGGCTTGCTGAAGCACATACACGTAATTTGGGCAGGGCTCCTGTGCTTTGCATTGAGTTTCAGATCAAGTCTTTGCCTACGTGGTGAAGAAGAGAGATTCTCCTCTAGGCAGAATAAGGAATGCTTGTGTGCTCTGTGTTTTCCCACAGCACGTGGGACCCACTCTCAGTCTCCGAAGACCCTGTGATTCAGAAAAGTAATGTAATCCAAGGCAAGGAAGATGTGCCTCAATTCCTGCAGCTCTTTCTGTGTAACTCAGCAGGCGCTGTGCTGAAGCTTCCTTCTCTCCAGGAGCACGTGCCACTGTTTGAAATCCTTTGGCACTGTAGCAGGCTGCTGCCCATGCTGCTGGTCCCGAAGAGATTTCTTGAAGCATCCCCTCCTCCTTTTTTCTTCTTCACAACCCCTGGGGGCTAAACTCATAGAGCTTAAAGCCCTGCCATCTCACATTCATTACCATGCTAATGGCTTTTCTCCATCCTCCAGATTCCCCTGATACACTTTCCCTGATATTGCATGTTCTTTAAAATGCCCCACAGGTGTTAACCTCCTTAGTAATAGTATTTTTATTTGAAGTAAGTTTCTAGCGGGCGTAATTTCTCGTAATAACATATTATAGTGTGGAGTCCTGGATTTTTTATTTATTATTATTTTTTTTAAAGCTCCTGTACCTTTCCTAGCCTTTGACATGTGGCTCAGCAGTTCGTTTCAGTTTCAGCCACAGAAAACCCCTGTGAGCTTTCCCACCGAACACTGGCTGCTGGGCATCGGTGGCTGCCCCCAGGTGTGGGAGCCCCGTTGCACAGTGCTGCTGTGTGCCCCTGCCTGCCATGAAGGCTAACCCTCCTGCCTGTGTGGGGGATGGCCTTTTGTGCTTGTGTATGTTTGCTGTCTCTGTGATAAAAGCCTGGCAGGCTTCTCTGCTGCTACTCTTTTTGTTCTCATTAAACATGCTTACCAAGAACTTAGTCATGCAGTGGATGCAATGGCTGTAGACCAGATCTGTGCTGCTTGTTGTTCTCTAGCTAGCAGCAAGACAGTAGTGATCCTCTGTGGAAGCTCTTGCTAACCTTCAAGTTTTCTCTTGTGTCCAAGCCTTGAGTCTCAAAGCAGTGGAAAAGTATCAGGTGGATTTTGATGGTCTCTGTAGATGGATTACGCTGGCTCTGTTTCTGATTCCTGTCTCTGTGCAGCTGTGATCAGTTACTTGCTGAACTCAGGAGTGATAGGTTGGCTGTGGCAGCTACTAAAGCAATCTGTGTGTGGGCAGATCTTGTTAAGACATATTTGACTCAGCATCATGCTGAGTCCTCAGGATGATTCTTTACTTTGAATGGTTTGTTACTCTGTTAATGATAATATTGCAATTTTGATATGTGCAGTTGGTTCTGTGCTGTGGAAATGGCTATTTAATAACATTTCTGCAGTTTCTGGTTAAACTGGGCTTATGGCACTGTTGACAGTG